TAGATATATATATATTATATATATATATATTGAAATTTTCAATTTACAAAATAGGAAATATAACAAATGTTTTGCTGTCTGCTAGCATCTAATAAGCGTCACATACTCTTAAAATGACACAGATTCAGATAAGAGGTACACCTCAATATTGTCAAAACCGATTATTCATTGAACCTTAGATCACTTTAGAGTAAATGTTTTTGCTGAATTTCGAAAAGGTTAATTGAGGGAATTAATTTTAAATTCTGGTAAGTAAATATTTATTTTTAATCTGATTTTTTTCCTTGTATGGTTTTAAAAACTGAATTGTGTTTTTCTTGCCTAACGGCTATTGATTGTCAGTTTTATAGTCATTTAAAAACATTAATGTTTCTGAAAAGTAAAGTGGCATTAATTTATCTGTTTTTACAATAATATTACTTTTAACTCTATACCCCTCCTTAATAGGTTTATAATCCGCTAATATTGCAATCTTTTATTTGTATCTAACGGTTGTTAAAGAACTGAAATCAAAAGCACGCCCAGTGGGCTCAGCATACACCTTCTATAGTAGATAAACTCATCATTGATACCTGGATTCAAATTTAGTACGTCAGACGCGCGTTTCGTCTACAAAAGACTGTCACTCACCAGTGACGCTCTAATAAAAAAAATGCCATACTATGTTATAAGTTGAAAAGCGTTGAGGAATCAAAATTCACAGCTAAGGTAATATATTAATGAGGTACAAAATACTTAGTATTTCGAAAGATTCAAAGTTTTGTAAACGGTTAATATATAATTTTGACCATATCAATGATTATTCATGTCAACACAGAAGTGCTGACTACTGGACTGGTGACAAATTTAAAGTATAGGAAATCAGAAGTAGGGGTCTTACAGATCTGAAAAGTGCTAACAACTTACATCTCCTTATTGCCAAGCTGCTACTAAATATGAAAACATTCTGTTCAGTTCAATTTGTGACGAAAAGATTTAAAAGTCGATTTAACATATAATTGAAAAATTCAATGTATCGGCAAGCATGAAGGAAGTTTTTGATGGACCAGAAAAGTGGTAGCACGTTACAAATCATTACTGTTGCTTTCAACCGAATGACCATATACGATATACCTCTGTTCAGTATTATCGCACCGCGGGTAAATTATCACGTTGTGATTGGTTTAACGACGTCACGTGGTGACCCCCTATGGATCCGTAGGGGGGTTAGTAATTTTCATAGGGGTTCATGATGTCACGTCTACTGTTAATGGTGACTGACGTCATCTATTAATGTTGTTGTGTTTCATTGTTTCTTTTTCTACAAAACGCAGCAGAAAAAGTCCCGCGTGCGATAAATTCGTTATACGGTTCACTACTGACCCCCTACGGACCATAGAGGGATAGTAAAATCCATAGGAGATTCGGCCTTCGGCCTCACCCCTATGGATTTAACTAACCCTCTATGGATCCGTAGGGGGTCAGTAGCAAACCATATAACTTATAATATCTGAAATAAGTGCAACGGAAATATGTGTTGGGCGAACGGAGTGGGGTATAATTAAACATATCCATATTACCCCGTTTTACACATTTTCCGGTAAGCCTCACATGAAATAAGTTGGAGTTTCTCTACACCCTTTTCAATAACATTTCAGCTCTTGTTGGACATTTAAAAAAGTGATGTTCAGCATTATGATATCCTAGCATTTAATTTTCAAAATAAAATTCTTAACAACACTCTTGGAACGCGTCGCGACATATAGCAGTTTGGAAATGACGGCATTCGTCACAACTCGGCCGATTCCGGATAGAAGGAGAGTAGCGGATTCACCCGAGGATTGCCGATTGGCATTGACGGTAAACAATCACCAATCGATCAATCCAACCCAACTTATTTTTTTTATAATACAAAGATTTTACTGGAGAAAGCACATGGCAAATTTTAAATATTCATTGACCATAGAATGTATCTTTTGAAAGTAAATAATTTCAAAACCCATCATAGCGAAAATACTATACAGTGGCAAAATTGGTGAACGAGAACAAAAGAAAATTCACTCTTCTTATAAAAAAAAGTCGAGAAAATCAATAATAAAACAATGCCGGTGATACTGATCAAAAGTTATTTCCAAATCACAATCGTACATTTTAAAGAAATTATTTGTTAAACTGTGATTTTAGAAATATACATGCAAATACACGGTTTTTTATGTCACAAGTCATTTTTTATCGAGATTTTCCATAAAAAAATTAACTGTTTTATGTATACATAATTATTCAGAAGCTTGTAAAACTGAAATATTAAAAAATGTTAATCATTCCTGCATATTGATAAAAAAATGGACAAAAATAATGTACATACAAAATCTAAAGATCTTTCGGGTTACCAATTTTCGAAGTACATGTTCCACTTAGTCCTTATCATTGTGCAATTTCCAAAAATATACTTTTTCACATCTAAGTTTTCGAGTACACCGGTCTTCTCTTGTCACGCCAGGTTATTGAATTTTACTACATTTGCATACAATTTTAGGAAAAGGTTGTCTCGATTTCTGTACATGTATTTGCAGTCTACTCGATCTATTCAAATTCAATGTTTACATCAAGATAAGGTCCACTTGTAATTGCTTAGTAACTTAATCAAAAGTGTTAATCTTTGCTGCATATCAATTGATTCATTTGATTTTTTTCTCTGAACTTTTCTAATCTAGCTGCATACATATAAGGATAAAAATATTAAGATCAATTTTTCAGTGTTTACAGAGGAGGTAATATTTTGTCAATAGATTTCCTACAGATTTCCTACAGGGTAAATTGGGTTGAAACGGAAGTCTTATCCTGAAGCCAACATAAATGCTAGATACGTTATTATAAAACTACATATATAACTGTTGAAGTTTTCATAGAAACAATGTAATTCGTTGTCAAATAACACATCATATTATCGACTGGTTATTTTGACTATCATGTACAACAGATTTGTTTCTGCTTTTCTGATTGCCATTGCAATACAATGGAATTTGTTATAGTGTATAGTGGATTTTGATCTGTATATTCTATTGCATCTGTCGTACTAATAGCTGGTATACATAGGGTGTGAATAATACGTTAGCTATAATAGCAACTTTCAGACCATAAGCGTTTATTGTGTAACTGGAGAGCATGATTCTATTGCAAAATCGCCTGTCTCCTACGGGACTCGAGCCCGGGACCTTTGTGTTACAAGGCAACGCGTTAACCGACTGCACTAAAGAAGAACTCAGTCGGTTAGAGCGCTGCCTTGTAACACAGAGGTCCCGGGTTCGAGTCCCGGCGGAGATGCACTGATTTTGTATGTAGAATCAATCTCTCCGGTTACGTTTGGCGCCCAACTAAAAAACCCACGGTGGTTGTAGAGGAATTCTAGCTAGGGTATGTGTGTGAGAGTAATAATGGTATGATAACTCTGAGGTTGGGGAAGTGTGACGGGATTGCTTACCTTCATTAGTAGATACTTCGTCAGCCGTAAGCGGTTGAGCTAAGGAACAGGTCAGGAATAACCATTAATTGATGGATTATACCTAAATTGAGGTATAATGGAGGGGCCTGATGGGTTATTTTCGTTCTTCGTGATCGGCGCATTTTCGCTATCGTGATCCGTTTTTCTACAGATTTTTTTTTTTATATTTTCGTGATCCGTGATCATGGAAATTTATTTTCTGTGAATCGTGATTGATAAAAAAAATCAACTCGTGAATCGTGATGAGACACCCCCCCCCCATCAGGCCTCTCATAATGCAGTTTTTATCACACATTTTTTTAAAGAGATATTCGAGCATCTTTTTGCATTTACCATCTTAAGCTTTGATAAGTACTCATTAGTGACATGTGATTGCTTCTGACTTCCAGTGCTGCGTTTTGTGAAAATGTGAATTATAATACCTCAATTGAGGTACACAGGCAAAATTTGCTCACGTGAAGTTCACATGAATCTCACATGAAATTCACATGAAAATTTCCACGTGAAATTAACCTCAAACGAGCTTATACATGAAACTCACGTGAAAATTTTCATGTGAATTTCACGTGAATTGAGATTCACCTGAATCTCACGTGAAATTATTCACATGAATTTCACGTGAACTTTACCCCCAAAAAAATGGTATTTTTCATGGTTTTGATTAAATTTGAAAATTTAGATGTTATTTGAATTACGTTATTTTAAAGGTTCATGTGAATTTCATGTGAAAAAAAATTAATGTGAAATTCACGCGACTTTCACATGAGATTCGTGTGAAACTCACATGAACTGATTTCATGTGAGTTTCACGTATAAGCTCATTTGAGGTGAAATTCACGTGAATTTCACGTGAGATTCACATGAATTTAAATTCACGTGAAATTGATGTGAGAGAAATTTCCCTGTGTATAATCCACCAATTGATGGATATTCACATAGCTTTCCTTAAGTCTGCATCAGTTCCTACTTTTAGATTTGTTAGTCGAAATGGACAGGAAGAGACTACAAAACAAAAACAAGATTTAATAGATGAAAACTCAGAATTTTTAAGAAGGAATAGAAGGGTCATATTAGTTTTTATGGATCTCTAACAAATTGCAGCATGAAGTGTCAAAACTAATTACATGTCATCACTAAGTGGTCATCAAAGCTTTGTATGGTAAATGCAAAAAGATGCTCAAATATATCTTACATTTTTTTGGAGGGGATCAAACCGCATTATACCTCAATTGGCGTATCCCATTTTATGCCAAATGGTGGATTATACCTGAATTGAGGTATAATCCACCAATTAATGGTTATTCCTGACCCGAGGAAGTACTTCTTTAGCTCGGTCGCTTAGAGCGCTGCCTTGTAACACAGAGGTCCCGGGTTCGAGTCCCGGAGGAGACAAGCGAGCCGATGTTGTAATTAAAATCATGCTCTCCGGTTACAATTGGAATCATGGCATCCTTTTCAAGATGCACACTCTTTTTTTCAAATATGGTACTGTAACTTTAAGTAAAAATATTCTACTTACGTAAATACTGTCGTGGTATTTCCCTCGATGTAGTCGAACAAATCGTCCAAAATACCAACACACAAAACAAGGTAATTTTCATTTTGAAAATAATAAAGACACGAAAAGTATCTATTGGAGAAACCGCCAATGCCTTGTTCTTGGGTCCGTTATATTTGCGTACTATCTCAAGAACTCTATCTATCCTGTCTATCACTAGGTTTCTAGAAGTCCCGCTTTATATACCCCGGAACCATCCACCCGTGCCGTAGTAATTTCCCCGAAGCTCTCGTTACCAAATAATCCTGACGTAGTGGGCGACTTTAATACATAAACAAAGGTACATTTATCAAGGTATAGCATGTCCTCGATAACAATAATAACAAAAGAGCTTTTTAATTTTCATCTCTTAACAAGTAATTTCACTTACCAGGTATTATTACGGGGTAAAAATCTAATCAAAACATATTGTAAACTAAACAACGTCTTTACGTGTTGATTGCTTTTCAAAATTCAGCCGTAATGTATTCATGGGTATGTGTTAAATTTGAATTACATTGTCAAGTACAGAGTCATGCGTGTGAAAACGATATTGCAACATTAGCCAAAATTATACTTTCAAACTATTGTTTATTCATTATAGGTAAATGATATATACATGTGCATTTATTAATGTTATAAACTTTTTCACTTTTATTTACAATTTAGAATTTATTAACTCTTTTAAATACATAACATAAACGATTGAACAAGATTCATTACAATAAAGTTTGACGTCGGAAAATTAAAAAAATAAGTAAACTGTCATTGTTTTTTTTTAAATTTTGACTATAGACCGAAAGGATGAGACATCCCTGTTTGAAAATTCCCACAATCAAAGGAACGAGCTTCGCAAATGAGACTCTAAGTAGCATTTAATAATTGAATTTATTTTATTGTAGTTTCAAATCGTTGACCGAAGCACAATTTCATGATTTTTTTTATAAGAACTTGTTACATAATACGCCTTTTTCTGAAATAAGAAACACACTTAAGTACTCAAGTACTCGCTAAGCGGTTTGTGTTCGTACCAGCCGACAAAGCAGCCAACAATAAGTTGGTAGTATCACGTAAATACTACAAGGAAGTTCTTACGAATGAAATTCTAAATTCTTCTACTTTCAGGTCTTTGCGCTCCGCAGAGAGTCCTATTGTACACAATTAAAGCATAACCACATCACAGCTTAATGACTCTTCTGAACATTTGAAGGTCCCTACTATGCATTTGTTATCTAAACTTCACAAAAAATTCGTAAATATAGTTTTATCTCGGCCTCTAGTAAGTGTTCTACAACTAATCTCAGTGTCAAATTCGGGCGGGGGGGGGGGGGGCGTAGATTGCGTCAAAAATATTTTTTGTCGCGATATAAAAAAATTTTGAGTATAAAATCATCCCTAAATAAATCGACTCGGTTCCTTGAGCGAAGCGATGCGATATATCTTCAAGCATCGGAGTTTCTGCCCCCCTTTCAAAATTCCTAAATCCGCCCCTGGATCTTTCAGAGCTTTTAACTAGTTTCTTAACTTCTTTTAAAGAACTTATCATTAACTTTTGTAATAAAGCATACGAAAAAAATGGAATCAAATATATTTGGAGTGTAAATATTCTTTGAATGTTTAAGATAAATTACGTGCTTTTGATGGTCTTTAAATTCGGTTGATAGTTTTGACATTTCAACTCTTTACACTACATTACCACACAATTCTACCGAATAAAAGTTTTCCTATTTAATTAAATGGTCGTTTTAAAAATCAGATTGCAATTGTATCTGCTGCAACTCATATCAATCATTCTTCTGTAATGAAAAGGGTAAATATGCATGCTTATTGTACTTATTGGAAGCGCGAGATGATTTTTGAAGTTGCAAAAGTTTTCTCCTTGACAACATTTATGCACGTTTCGGCAATAACGATTTTCGACGGGTTATAGGTATACCTATGGGAACCAATTACCCCCTATAATAGCGGACTTGTTCCTGTATTGTTTTGAATCATACTTTATGACCAAACTCAGTAGAGACCCGTCTAAATTCCATTTAATTGATAAATTCCACAACACTTACCGTTATCTCGTTATTTTGATGATTTTTTTTTCGCTAATTAATAAAGAATTCTCTAATTATACTGCCGAAATTTACCCAATGAAACTTACTTAAATTTATCTATCCTTAAAATCAAATTATTCTTAAAGGTTACAATTTCAACAGTGTAATTATATTATCTTTGAATATTGGTTTTATCGGTTAAAATACATAATTTGTTATAACTATATTGAAACTTAACTAAATAGTATTGCTATATAAATATAAGAAGATGTGGTATAATTGCCAATTTTTGCTTTGTATCGATCTGATGAGTAGAGCCCTTTTCAACTGATTTTTATAGTGTTTTCTTCTGTTGAGCGGTTACACCACTGTCCCAGGTTAGGGTCCAGGGTTGGACGCCCGCAAAAAACATGTTTAATATAAAATTAAGAAGATGTGGTATGGACCAAATGACACAGATATTAAGACTTATAGGTCAACGTACGGCCTTCGACAATGAGTAAAACCCATACCGCATAGTCAGCTCTTAAAGGCCCCGAAATGACAAATGTAAAACAATTCAAACGAGAAAACTAACGTCCTGATTTATGTACAAAATAATGAACGGAAAACAAATATGATGTACAGCAACAAACGACAACCACTAAATTACAAGCTGAACACCACTACATTCTGTATGTGCCTGCCCCAAGTCAGGAGCCTGTTATTCAGTGGTTGTCGTTTGTTATATGTATATCATATTTTTTTTTCGTTTAACGTTTTGTACATAAATCAGGCCGTTAGTTTTTCTTGTTTGAATTAATTCTATTACATTTGTCATTTCGGGGCCTTTTTCAGTATAGCTTGCTTTGCGGTATAGATGTAGCTGATTGTTGAAGGCCGCGTACGGCGACCTATAGTTAACTTCTACGTCATTGGTCTCTGGTTAAGAGTGGTCTTATCGACAATCATACCACATCTTCTTATTTTTATACTAACATTTATTGAATGGCAAATCGCTCAATCAGTCATTTTATTTTCCTTTCTCTAAAATATTGTTTTTTTTCAAGTTGAGAATCAGAATATACTAGATATAAAAAGAAGGAGATGTGGTATGATTGCAAATGAGACAACTATCCACCAAAGTTCAAACGAAGTGGATCTATAAGCAATTATAGGCAACAGTATGGCCTTCAACAACGAGAAAAACCCATACGGTGTGGTCGGCTATAAAAGGCCCCGACATGAAAAATATGAAACAATTCAATTGAGAAAACTAACGGCCTAATTTATAACAAAACAGTTTACAAAAAACAAATATGACTTGGTGTGAGTTTGAAACATATGTATATATGCATGCCAAATTATTGTAAGTTATATGACAAAACAAGCAACAAGTAGTACTACGTAAATCAGTCCATAAAACTAATCATAGTTTTAAACGGTTCCGGGAAGGACTCTTAATAGTAATACTTGCACTAAATTTTAAAGTCAAAGCTTTAGATCATAGGAAGTAATTCCTATTCTTACTTAGTCTAATAATAAATATTAATAATCACATTTTCAAATATACATCCAATTTCATAAATGCACTCACGTGCTTTTGCATCCCGATCAAACAATTTTGAGAACATTTCGTAATTGAAAAATAACATTAACGTACCTCTGATTTCGTATTTTATAAGTTATAGATATTTCAAATCTTTTGGATAGTTTTGCGGTGTTTCGTAAATTATACCATAGCTTTTGTTGAAACCCCCGGCAATAACCTCACGAGACGAAGTCGAGTGAGGTTGCAGAGGGGTTTCAACAAAAAACTATGGTATAATTTACGAAACACCGCAAAACTATCCAAAAAATATGGAATATCTGTTTTAACCTATCGCATCTTTTGCTGTTTAAAATTGTATATTTCATATATTTTTGTTTGTTTACTTTAAAAATAGTTTTGATAAGAATCAGTTAAATAATCCTTTTCGGGCCTTACACATAAAGCTCCGCCTACTTTATAAAATAAGCACGGGCTTCTGAAACAGCGGGAAAAAACAGTTAGACGAGATGTTTCGACAGCGATGGATGCACATTTACATTGGTGAAGGATAACGTTACAGACGAAAAAATGTTAAAGGAATTAGATGTTCTGGATATGGACGCAAGAGACCCCAGATTAAAAGTTGAACTGCAAAGGGTTAGTTTTTTTTAACTTTATCAAAATGTTCGATGTTTTAATGTTTTAATATTCATTTATAATTCTTTTGAAATTAATTTCACAAGAATCTTTTTGAGAGTTTGGATGAATCATCCCACAATTTAATTTGTACCTGAAGCCCAAGTCGTACATTAATTAAAAGGCATTTCAAAATGTTCATGATTAAAATCACATGTTGACTAGCAATAATTTACACAAAAAATTAAGCTTCATTTAGAAAAACCAGACGCTTGTCTAATTTTAACATTTCAACATTATTGTAATTACTTGAGCAACCTCGTTAAAATCTAGATGTCAGCAATGTATAACAAATCGGGTGCGGATCCAGGATACAGAAAGGGGGATCTAGCAAGTCAACATTTGGAGCAATACAATGAAAAAGTCTATGCATTTACCATATATGAAGCTCATTAAAAGGGGCTTGCTCCCTGTCCCCTCTCCCAAAAAAGCCACCTCGGCAAATTCAAACCTATACATGTAGCTGTACAGTGGAGCCTAAGGAATACAATCCAAGTATAAATCTCAATAACCGAAAATCAACTTAATATATATATACACATTTATATATTTTTTTTAAACTTTATTTGTTTGTGTATTTGTTCTAGGAGCGATTTTGTTTTCATTTAAAAATATAGGACAACAGAGTTGGTGAACGTTGGTTCGATTCCCACCCTAGGCATTCATTTATATCGGCTGGTGCAAAGCGAGCAGTTTAGCTTAGTGGCCCCGCACTGACTCTGTTGTCCAAATGTCAAAACATTCAGGCAGCCAGGTCTTGCTATCTTTCTTTTTCTCGAAGACCATATACAACGAAACCATGGTATAATTTTCGGTTATTGAGATTTATACTCGGGTTGCATTCCCATAGGTTCCATTGTACAGCTATAGGTTTATTTCATCATAAATGCTTGGATAAACATGCAATGATTGAAACTTAAAACGTTTAAACCCGCTGCATTTGTTTGCATCTGTCCTAAGTCAGGAATCTGATGTTCAGTAGTTGTTGTTTGTTAATGTGGTTCATAAGTGTTTCTCGTTTCTCGTTTT